GGACATCAGAGCCAGCCTACTTGCGTGGTGCCTGGTTGTCCACCATCTTCAATGCGCCTTTGTGCCTCCCTGTCCAGATAAGCGAGAAGACGTCTCAGGAGCGAGAGCGCAGTGGCTGTGGGGTGGTGGGGGGAGGCGGAGGCTGCAGCACTGTCGGGGCAGCGGGAGGCGGGGAGAGGAGCGTGGACCGACCCCGGACCTCCCCTTCCCAACGCCTCATGTCAACGCATCACCACCACCACCACCTAGGGTACTCGCTGCTGCCAGCACAGTACAACCTGCCCTATGCAACAGGTGAGAGCAGAGGGCCCGCTGGCAGGGAGTGGAAGAGGGGGGCTCGGTCTGTGCCAGGGTCTAGAGTTCTGAGTGGGGGGAAGGGCTGGGCTGAACAGCCGTGGTGGGTGTGGGATTACCTGGCATGAGCATGAGGGGGAGCAGCAAAAGGCAGGTTGAGGCAGCCCCCTGAGTTTCCCCTGCCCTGGGGGGCTGGCAGCACCAGGCTGAAATAGACAGCTCTCATGGCCTCCCTGGCCTGTTGTGGTGAATTGCTCCCGCCTATGGGGCGCTGCCAGTCTTGGGGTCATGGCTCCGGGGAGAGCAACTCATTGTTCCCAGCCTCAGGGCTAGTGCTGGAGCCCCCTGGCAATGAGCCCAGCTCCAGGCCACTGCAGAGTGCAGGGCAGGGCAGGGCAAGGCTGAGTGACCTGAACTGCAGGTCCATTGTCATCAGCCTTCGGCATCACCACCATTCATCCTGTGGTGCTGCCGTGCAGCTCCTGATCTGTTCTCTGCTTCTTTCTGCAGGTCTCTCTTCTACAGCCATTGTTGCCAGCCAGCAGGGCTCCACCCCCTCCTTATACCCACCTCCCCGGAGGTGAGAACGGTAAGCCTCTGCCCTAGTAAAGGTGGGGAGGCCTGCAGAGCGGCCCCGTGTAGCCAACTTCTAGCTGTTGAGACCCAAGGTGTCTTCTTGCAGAGCATCGAAAGCTCTGTTGTGGCATGGAGAGGATTAAGCTGTGGGAAGGTGCCCAACACTTGGGTGAATGTCACATATCTCTAGGGCTTTCTCTCTTATATGTAGGGGAGAACTGGGGGCTTCCTAGAGCAAAGGAGCAGCCTCTGCAAGCAGAGCCAAGCCTGGGCATGGTGTGGGGGATGTATTTGCTGCTTCCCCCCCAAACCTCTGCCAGTGCCCTTCAAGCCCAGCTCAGGGCCCCGTGATGCCCACCATTGTGATTCTCCATAGCAGCTCTGCCTTTGTGCCCTAACCTATGCGCTCCATGCTATTCCAGCTTTGGGTTCCCCCATCCCCAGGTCAGCTGAGGCCCTTCATATCTCTCCTGCCATTGCCAGCTGCCCTGCTGCAGACCAGACACTTTGGTTTTGGTGTAGTCTGTAACTAGTTGTCTGCAAGAGGGCTGGTGGGGGAGTTGCCTTTTCTACCAGTCTGATGCTGGGGCCTGTTGAAATCAGGCAGCCTGATGGAGATGGATGGAGACTGAAGCTGGCTGCTCCTGGGTTCCTGCCAGCTGCCACTACCCCTTTGTGGTTGACATGCTGCCCTGGGCTAATGCCCCCTTCTCCATTGTTTTGGACAGGACATGATGTGGTCGGATATCCTAGGCTGCCCCAAGTCATGTGACTGGCTCACATGAGGAAGCGCTGCAAATTCCATTAGACATCAGTTGAATGGTGTTAATTGTTCTGTTTGACGTTCCTGCCATAATCTGAGGCAGACTCTGTCTTCTCCCCTGTCGGACACGTGCTGAATTCCCCCCCCCCCCCCCCCCCCC